TTTCACCCAAAAAAATGGGCTGAAAATCTCGGCTTATACTCGAGTATATACGGTATAACAAGTACACTGAGAATGTCTGTATTCAGACTTATTCACTAAGGCAGTTTAAACTGCAGGAATGATTTGCAGAGTGCTATAATACACAGCAACAATTCAGCTGTGCAAGTTCTGCCAAAATGGATTTTCCATTTTCTAATAGAGAGGAAAAAGGAATGGAACAGCTTCCAGATTTTTATTGCTGTCTTTGGGGAGATTTTTTTTAAACATGTCCTGTCCAGAGATTTAAAGTGTGTGTCCAGTTAAAACGTTATTAGTTTAGTATAGAGAGAGGAAGCATTAGAATCCCTGTCAGAGTACTGGTATCTGGGGCATCATTAGGGACATTTCCCCTCATTTGTCATGGTGACAATGGTCTTTACCAGACAGGAAGGTAATGAAAACTGCAACAACGTACAGCTATAAAAAGCTGACAGGAGTTATATGCTTCCTCTCACAGGTACACCTTCCTGCATTATATGTGCTGCAGTCTACACATTTCAGTCCAGTATCTGGTTTGTGGGAAAACTGGCCCTTTTTATATATTTAAATATAATGACATCCTTCAAGCTGTACTTCAGTTGACTAAAGGTGGTCCCCTGTTACTTATAGGGGTATTGTGAGAGGTGTGGACCCAGGGACATCACTGCATTAAACTATACGGTGTAGAGGTCTAGCACTGTGAAATATACCACTTGCAGCTGTTTCATTTGCATGTTCTACAATATTGGGAATCCAAATATTTGAAGCATTTCAAACCATTTTTTTAACACATGCTAAATTCCGGTTGGTATAAATGTGAACTTTTTCATTTTTCTCTGAGTTTTTAAAGATTGCATGTCCTAATGGATTTTTTTTCCCCAGAAACAGTTTCAACTGGATTTATTGCACCGCAGCCCTATTTTAATTTATGCATGCTTAAACTGTGTTTCACAAGCTTATTACTTTCTGCAAGTTTTGTCAATTCTGTATTTCCCAATCATGTTTCTTTGCATGCAAGGTTATCAAAATGGGACCAACAGTTCCAACATTTTATTTTGCCTTGTACAGGTACAAGTGTTCTTTCCGTGTGCCCGTGTGACATTTTGCAACTGAACAACTGAATCTGGTTATATAAATGTTGTTGTCCTTAAGGATTACATTGAGTTTGGTTCCTAGCACCAGGGCATGTTAACAGTCATTCATGGTCTGGCTTGGCACTCTTGCATCTCCTTTATTTGGGAGACCGTTATTTTGCCTATGAGTATGTGTGCACTGGCACGCCTCAGCCTTACTTTAGTATTATAAATCCTTTATAGCCCCAAAACATTTTGCTTTTGTAAACAAACATGGTCTAAAATGCCTAATGTGCTATAAAGTCATAATTTTGCATTGCCCTCTGTCACATGAATAGTGCCAAATGGATTCTGATGATATCCCATTGGGGTAAACCTTTTGAAAAAAATGCAAGTGAGCACATGGAAAGTGTACTTGTACAAGTACTTTTACAGTAGAACTAAATGAAATTACATAAATAAAACTTGTGTTATGAAAAATATGTAGTCTGTCATTGCTGACCTTTTGGAAATACTAGTTGCCTGGTTGTCCATGGTGTCAGTACTTAAGCTGGCCACACACTAGTAGATTTCCGAACATATGTTTGTTAGAAAGATCTTTCTTTACCACCTGATAATGTCATCAGACGAATTGAAGTTTCGTTTGAGTTTAACATTCGACTTTGGAATGAATGCAGTTTCCTGAAGAAAAAAAACACATTCAATGTTAGAATTTCATCAGTTTAAGAAAACATTTCCATCCTGCTGCTTCGAATTTTTTCGTCACTACAGTTGAAAATGAACGTCGATTTGACCCCATCAACTGATAGAAAATCGAACGAAAGATCTTTGGTACAAACGTACTTTCGAAAAGCTAAGCCGTGTATGGCCAGCTTTACTCAGATACTGGTCTGGGCAAAGCATGCAGGTCAGTAAAATTGAAGAACGATGCATACTTGTTTCAAGACTGTGATCTAGAAGAACTAAAGTCGTAGATCGGTTTGACAGCCTAAGAACCTAGTGTTTTCAACGCCGTGATCAGTAATGGCGGCCTTCATTTTTCTTCAGTACAGGTTTCTTTATTCATATTTCTGACAGCCTCCCCCCCCCCCCCCCCCCCTTTTTCTCCCCGTCCCCCCCCCCCCCCCCCCTTCCCCAAGGTAATTTGTATAATTCCTTCTAGCATATGTACCTGGCAGCAGGTCTGGGCTCCCTCCATCTTTGATTCCTATGCTTAAAGACAGCTAATCAGTAGCGCTACCTGTACTCGGTTCTGCTCCACAGCATGCTTGGGCACTGGGACCAAAGCTGGAGGAAGCCCAAACATGCTCTCAGGAGTGTATTACATAGGTGATTTAGACAGATTAGTTTACAAAAGAGGAAAGGGGAGAAAAAGCATAAAACAGATTAGGTCCTTTTGAAATGGCAACTAGAGCCAAGTTTGTGTATATACAGTGTGGCAAATAATTATTTGATCCCCTGCAGATTTTGTAAGTTTGCCCACTTACAAATAAATGAGAGGTCTATAATTTTTATCATAGGTGCATTTTAAATGATAGGGACAGAATATCAACCAAAAATCCAGAAAAAAACCACATGATAGAAATGTTATGAAATGAGTTGCAGTTCAGTGAGTAAAATAAGTATTTGATCCCCAAGCAAAACATGACTTAGAACTTGGTGGAGAAACTCTTGTTAGCAAGCACAGAGGTAAGACATTTTTGTAGTGGGTTACCAGGTTTGAACACATCTCAGGAGGGATTTTGGTCCACTCTTTACAGATCTTCTCTAAATCCTTAAGGTTTCTTGGCTGTCGCTTGGCGACTCAAAGTTTCAGCTCCCTCCATAAATTTTCTATAGGATTAAGGTCTGTAGACTACCTAAGCCACTCCATTAACCTTAATGTGCTTCTTGACCCACTGCTTTGTTGCCTTGGCGGTATGTTTTGGGTCATTGTCATGCTGAAAAACCCATCCACGACCTATCTTCAGTGTTCTGGCTGAGGGACGTAGGTTCTCATCCAAGATTTTACAATTCATCGCCCCGTCCATTGTCCCCTCAGTGTGGCAAAGTCGGACCTTTAGCAGAGAAACAGCCCCAAAACATAATGTTTCCACCTTTGTGCTTGACTGTAGGGATGGTGTTCTTAGGGTCATAGTCAGCATTTTTCTTCCTCCAAACACGGCGAGTTAAGTTAATGCCAAAGAGCTCAATATTGGTCTCATCTGTCTGCAGCACTCTCTCCAAGTCCTTCTCTGAGTCATTTAGATGTTCATTGGCAAACTTCAGAGGGGCCTGTACATGTGCCTTCTTGAGGAGGTGGCCCTTGCTGGCGCTGCAGGATCTCAATCCATGGCGGTGTATTGTGTTACCAATGGTTTGTTTGGTGACTGTGGTCCTAACTGCCTTGAGATAATTCACAGGCTCCTCCAGCCTTGTGTAAGTCTACAATCTTGTCCCTAAAGTCGTTTGACAGCTCTTTGGTCTTGCCCATGGTGGTGAGGTTTGAATGGAAGAAAAAGATTCTGTGGACAGGTGTCTTTTATATACATAACGAGTTGTCATTAGGAGCACCTTCTTAAATTGACAGGACTAATCTGTGTACCACACAGCCAATCTGCGGGAGCTAGAATTATTGTTGGTTGGTAGGGGATCAAATACTTATATTACTCACTGAACTGCAACTCAATTTATAACATTTGTATCATGTGTTTTTTTTCTGGATGTTTGTTTGATATTCTGTCTCTGTCATTTAAAATACACGTTGATGTACACATGATAAAAAAAATTATAGACCTTTAATTTCCTTGTAAGTGGGCAAATTTACAAAATCTGCAGGGGATCAAATAATTATTTTTCCTCACTGTATGTAGAGAGATGGAAATATTTTGTAACATTCACATATTGGATGAATAGAGAGAGAGAAATGCAATTGTGAAGTTCAATATTTTGCACAGCGAAATTTCTGGGCATTAGTCCAATACAATAATTCTACCAATTGTTATTTGTAAGTATCCTCTATGTAGGTATCCAACTGTATTCTGTCCTTTTGGTTTAGTTCATTTGAAAAAACAGATACGTTAAAGTATTTGTGAACATGCCCATAGCCTGCAGTAGTTGGTAATTAAAGAACAGTTTCTGCTGCCCACCAATGTTAAATACAACTGCTGAAAATAACAGGCTTTATGGCAAAAAAACAAGTGTTTTATCTTGGTAAATTTGAGCTTAATGATTGCTAAGGCACATCCACTAGAGGTAGGCAACAAAATTCAATTACATGGTTTTATTTAATGTTAATGTTTACAATTAAATTAGAGTGTGAAGGGTGGGCTACATGGTTTTTGTGTACAAAGCAGTTTCATTTTTTTTATTTTTTACATAAAGTGATTTTGTATTTTTGTTGTGGTGCTTCTTACAGGGGTTGTAGAGCATAATCTGTAATTTTAACTTCCTGGTCTTTATATCTATGAAAGGACTCTGCATATTTTTTTAAAGGCTCCTGATACTTCTTATAATGCCACTTTTTATAAAATGAATAAAGCTATAAAGTTGGGGTTCATTACATGTAACAGGCATGCACGTGTCTTCTGGGGAGAGGGGCACTGACTGCTAAGAGGGCTGTAGCCATTAGGCTTCATACGGATATTGTCCTCTAAGAGCTTGGGAACTCTTCTCCTTCTGAACTCATGTGTAGATGTAACTGAAGTTTAGCAAATTTTTTATTGTGCAGTTATAGTTTGATGTGTGCACAACTTAAATGTATGTAGTACTTTTATAAAAGGTGTACGTATTTTTCTATAAATGTTTCATATTTTATAAATATTTGATTCTGGCTCTGTCAGGCTTTGTACTTTCTTGCACTATAAAGCTGCATTTTGTGATGCTGAAATTCAATTCAGTTATTTATACATTGGATTTTTGTGCTTCCAGATTCTCTGCAAGCTCAGCTCATAAATATGGGAGTGATTCCCACACTGGTGAAGTTGCTTGGCGTTCATTCCCAGAACACTGCATTGACAGAGATGTGCCTTGTTGCATTCGGCAACTTAGCAGAACTTGGTAAGTATGGTGGGGAGGTATTTCTATTAAAGTGTATATGTTTTATTTCAGAATGTGTTGTTTTTTTCCTGTATCTTAAAGCATATTTTGCTCTACAGTGTTAACCTTCTCTTGCATGCCTTTAGAACTGTACATTTCCAAATTTAGAACATTTTCTGCATATAATATATAGTCTTTTGTGCTTTCTTTTAAGATTTGTGTTTATTGTTTTGTTTTGTTTGTGAGCTACATATATTGAATTAAAGCTATGATAATGATCTTGCTGGGATAGGTATTTAATAGCAGGAGGGCTGAAATACTTATCTCCAATGCTGCAGATATGACCGAAAACTTGATCATTTGGTCTTATAATAAGCCTTCACTTTAGCAGAAATCATGTGACCAAATGCTTGAACTTTTGGCCACATGGGAAGTGTTTTTGTGCCCAATAATTTTTTTTTAGTGCTTCTATTATTATTTATCTTTCTCAGCAAGACTGGTAAAAAAAAGCCCGTACAGCAGCCGAAGGCGGCCAAGCTGCTCAGCCGAGCTGAACGCATATGTTTCGGCTTGGCTGAGCCGTAGTGACAGCCGAAGCGTGGAGAAAGGTCCGCCAAAGGGCCAACCGTTCTCCACGCAAGTGATAGTTTGGCGGAGCCAGCAGTGATGTCACGGCTCGCTCTGTGCAGTTGTAATGACAGATCAGCTTCCCCAAATGGCGTAACACAACACAGCCAAGTTTATGAAACCACATACAGTTAAGGCATACAGTGGCTTCTTCTCCTCACCCCAGCCTGCTAACTGGACAGTGAAAGGTTCTCGCCTCCTGTCAGCATAGTCCTTGTCAACATATTTGCATGCAGCACACCAGATTGGCTATCAGACAGAAGCCCAGGAGTGCTGCTGTAAAGGGGATTGCAAGAGGCAATTGCCAAGTCAAAGTCAGGTGCATTAAAAATATATATGAATTAAAACAGTTGAACTTATTTAAAAGTGTAGGTCGCATTTTAGGGGTTAGGTGTTCAGGTAGGGGAGGCTTCAGTTTTAGTGGGGAGATCTTTAAATGTAGGGATGTATTTAATTGGTTCAGGGCTTATTTGCATACAGAATGTAGTAACCCATAGCTACCATCATCATGTCATATTTCAGCCTACAGTAGTCGTGTTACATTTCTCTAATTGGTTGTTATAGAGTTGGCACCTTGCACATTATCATGTTTTTTTTATATATATATATATCTATGCAACTTGAGCGTTACTGTCAGGGTTATTCACAAAAGAGTGAAGGGTTTGGAGAAGACAGGAGAAGTGAACAATCTAGGCCAAAATAGCCGATTTGGAAAAAGTCTCCAATTCAGCTCTCTTTCCAGTTCAGCTATGTTGTCCTAGATTGTTCACTTCTCCTGCCTTCTCCAAACTCTTCACCCTTTTGTGAATAACCCTGTATATGGTAAGATGATTCTCCTTGATTTCATGGTTGTAATGGTTCTTTTAGAATGTTTACATCACTTTCCCACTTTCAGCTTAGTTATCCAAAGGGAGAACTTGGCATTTTATTTAAAGCTGAGAGCATTACAAAATGAAGTCTCAAAATACTGCTTTGGGAACCAGTGTATAATAATAGACTGATGTTTACTTTCTGTTTATTGTGTTGTTTAAAATTAGAGTCCAGTAAAGAACAGTTTGCTTCAACAAATGTTGCAGAAGAACTTGTAAAACTTTTTAAAAAGCAGACAGAGCATGAAAAGAAAGAGATGATCTTTGAAGTTCTGGCTCCTCTTGCAGAAAATGGTAAGAATAATTCTTTATGCTTCTATAATTATAACATATACACTCAGTTGCCAGAAACAGTAACATGCTTATTAATGGACCACCCCAATAATAGCTGCCACACATTGTGCCAGTGACCTTAGAAAGCTTTATAGAAACACATGTGTTTGGTACGTGCCAAAAAAAAAAAACGACCATTTAAGTAGTACCTTTAAAGTTACCCCATGGCCAGGTCATGGACATTCTTCTTAACAGGACATATTCTTAAGCATCAACAAGCTTTGACCCTTTCACTGCCACAGATGTAAGTACATGGCAAGTATACTCAGATTCCCCCCCAATAGTTATGAATGTATATTGTGATCTTGTAAGAAGCATTAAGGGCCCATTCACATGTACTGTGCTGACCTGTATTCCACCACAACAGATCAGCGCAGGTCACCACAAGGACACAAAGAAAACGGTTGTTTTCTATGTGTCCCGTTCACACCGCAACACGGGTGGTATGTTGTGCAGCAAACGCTGCATTTTTTTCGCAGCACACTACATGGCATTGCAAGGCAGCACGCCAAGCTGCTCTGTGGGGACTGGGATGAAGTGGACACATTGTACACTACCAATAAAGTTTTTATTTTTAAAATATATAAACTGCACATTGCAGGTTACATTTGTCTGCCATTTTTGTGTCCTGGATTGAATTGTTTTTTGTACACTGTTTTGATTTATTGTTTTGTATTTTTTTAAATGCTAATTAAAAAAGAAGTGTACACAGTGGCAGCTTTGGTAGTGTGTGAGATACAACGCACACTACTGCAAATGCCACAACACACTAGGCTGTCACTAAAACGCAGCATTTTAGAAGACAGGCTAGTGTAAACAGACCCTCTATCCACTGCCTATCCCAAATTATATGAGGATTGCGGAAAAGGGTATTATCAGTAAATCTTACTCCACAATTACAGAACCAGCTAACAGATTTACACTTCATGTATCCCTTTTTTTTTTTTCTGCAGCTCTATCAAATTTGAAGTCAATAAATGTATGTTGGTTTGTTTTGGTTTCAGCAGTTAGTGTGAAATGTTTTCCTTTTTATTCCTTTTTTATTTTTGCATACTGCTCCCTATCTATTCAGTGCAGTTTAATTGCTTGTAACATGTAATAAACAGCATGTTAGCTACTGCTGAGATGTTACTTGTCTGAAAAGCTAAACTGACCTTTCAGTAGGAAGCAAAGTACTGCATCCTGCTGACATCTCTCCAGCTGTGACACTTTCTGACAGAGGCTGTTAACACAATAACAGAAATGCAATTTGCAACCAGGCAAGCAAGGACTCACTATATTCTTCATCAGTTTTCATTCTAGTGGCGATAAACACACTTTACACTTCCAGAGCTTTCAGCTTTTTGTAAGACCAATTATAATTATGTGTTTTATGGGGATTTACCAAAACCACCCATCTACACCACCGCCCGACTATTTCACATTCATAATGAATATACAGATAAAGTGGTACCCCGGGAACACTTGGGAGCAAAGGAAACAAAATTACAAGGTGAGAGCCACATATAAATTTACTGAGGGTGCTGTAAGGCCGGTTAGGGGTGAGATTTGGGTTACTGCTAGTTCCCAGCTTAAAAATCACAGCCAAGAGTTACTCTTGCAGCTGCTGTTGTCAAAAACTGACCTTCTGGCATTGTGTTGATTAACGCTGTTCAGGGCATGTGTGTTGAGCTGTGTTGATCAGCAGAGATCATAGAAAACAATTGTTTTCTAAAAAGAAAATTTTAAATTACAGCTGTCGACAGGACAGGAATAGAGGAGAAATCTAATATAATCAAGATGTGATTGTAAATATCACAATTAGGAGATTTCCTGTAGTTTAATGATACTTCCATGACAGCAAGTGAGAAGTAAACACCGCAGAGCAATATAAAAAGTTTCAAACTATCCAAAAGTAGAAGAAAAAAAAAAAGTTTTTGAATGTGCTTACCTCTGTACTTAAGGCAAAAAGAGGTGAGCTCAGAATTTTCCAGATCAGTAGTGGGCCAAATATTGCTAATTTCAGGAATATGCAAATAAAATGTAAGTACCAGGCAAGATGAACATAAATTGGTGAGTTGTCAAATTTAGGTGCCGGTGATTGTTATAAGAATGCTTTTCTTTTTCCAAGAGTGTTACCAAAATGTGTCTCACATAGAACTAATACAGCACATTTGACACCGTTCCTCATTATTGATGACAAACTTGCTTGGAAATGTCTCTGAAAATGTCATCTAGAATAAATAATACTTTTCTGTTTGTTTGGTGGGGAAGGGGCGAGGGGGATAAAATATGAAATTCCTGAGGCACAGTTGGCATCGGAAAGGAGAATTGTGTGTTCGTCAGCTGTTCTTGTTGGAAAAGCCTTGCTGTTTAATATGCACTTTAAGCAACATCTGTTACACAAAAAAAAAATCATCCTGACAAGTTACTGCGGCTGGAAGCTTGATGTTTATTTAAGGCAGCAAGTGGGTGTAGAATTGAATTGCATATCAGTTATCTACATAATGTTAACATTCATGCTATATGTGAAGACTATGTATTAAGGTGGTCGTGCATAGAGGGCATTTCCCCATCTATGTGCAAACAATTGTAGTATGATTATATGAAAAATGTTGTACTCACTGTAAAATCCTTTTCTGTGTTCACTGAAGGACAGCCGACTCCATGCTGATTGGCTGGGAAGCCAATCACAATCAAGCCTGCCAAACAACATGAAGCCGGCTGCCGGGGCAATCAGGAAGCCGGGCAGCATGTCATTACTCGCTGCCCAGCTTCCTGATTGCCCAGGAAGCTGGGTCCATGTCAGCGGAAGCATCGGTATCAGTATCGGCAAGTAACAAAAGCAAAATTTCGGTACTTGATACTAAAAAAAACGGTATCGGTGCAAACTTACTGGTGAGAGCGCTAGTGGGTGTTCTATGGGCACTGCCAGATTTTTCAAGTCTTCTGTCTCAAGGTCCTATTGGCCATCCTGCTTCACAGCCGCTGGCTTTAACAGCGTGGCTGTTGAAGCCCAGGTAATGAGGGACAAGACATCTCTCAAATGGTTGTTCCCACAATACAAAAAGCTAGTAAGTCTACTTTTCACAAGGTCTTTCATCAAATGTGGAAGGTATACTTCACTTGGTGTGAATCTTGGGCTTACACACTACGAGATTCTCTGTGGGACAAATCCTTCCCTTCCTACAGCATGGTCTGGACCAGCATTTGGCTGTCAGCACTATCAAGGGTCAGGTTTCTGTTCTTGCTCTTCTGTTTCAGAGACCGCTGGCCTCTTTATTATTTGATTATGACCTTTGTACAGTGAGTCTCGTATATAGGCCCCCATTCATTTCCCTGTGACTCCATTGGGTCTGAACCTGGTTTTCTGTGCACTTCAAAATATGCATATTCCTCTCTCTACGCTCACCCAAAAGGAGCGGTTTCTCATAGCCATAAGCATGGCGAGATAATTGGCTGAGCTGGCAGCCTTATCCTTTTTGGTCTCGCACAAGGTGGTCCTCAGATGCAGGACTTCCTTCTTGGTCCACCTCATCCAGGACATTGTTCTTTCAACCCTCTGTCTGGCTCCAGTTCACCCCAAGGAAATTACACTCCTTTGTCAGCGATTTGGGCTGTGCCAGATTATCATCTACTGCTTCAGGAATCCCTTTTTAAAAATTCCAGATGGACTATGTATATGTTCACTGGCTTCTCATTCCCCCATTTATCCGTGGCACAGACAGACCATCACCATGCATATTGTCTCAACATTCAGGTGCCACCCTTTTTTCCTGACAGGCACGCTCTACTAGATTGTGGGTGCTTCTTGGACAGTATCAGGCTAATGTTTCTGGGATTTTCAAGGCTGACACCCGGTCTTCTGTTCACATGTCAGGTCTGGCAGGTGAATAGTAAAGCCTCATCTGATTCCAGGTTTTGTGTAAGGTCTTTCAGGTGGCTTTTTGAAAGGCAGGCAATTTTCTCTTGTTTTTAGTGGGCCTGTTTCGTTTGGTTGCTGTTGCCCACCCCTGTTTTTTTGGACATCCAGAGGATGAAGACTTCCTGTGTCTCTCAATAGAGGATAAAGTAGATAGAATATTTGTACTCACTGTATGTTAGAAAATATTTATTTAATGATGCTTACGATTTAAGCGTCTTAAAGTGATTATAATCTTCATCAAAGAATGTCCAGTTGTTTGAATGAAAAACTTGTGACTTTAATTGTATAGCATAAAGTCAACAGCATGCAATGATATAGCAAAAGTGAATATACAGATAGATAGTTCAAAAATATAGTACAAAAGTTAATGCAGAGTTTTAAGAGTTCTGGATGTCACCTCGTGTTAAGAAGTCTCTTGTGAAGGTTTCAGACAAAAATAGTATTTCTTTGCAGGTTGAAAAACAAAGTCTTTTCTTCAAATGGGGCGTGTCTCTCCTCTTGTGGAGTCGTCTTCTGTATGTCGTGTTATGTAATGTAGTGTAGTGTGCCCCTCTCGGAGATATTCTCTTGTTTATATAGCTAAAACAACGTTCACTATTGGCTAATCTTATAAGATCTTATCATATACTTTGTACTATTCTAAACTCATTTTGACGTCATGATTCCTATACTTTCTCTATATGGCTCGACCAAAACTACTTAGTCATCAAGATTTCTAAACATCATTCTACAAACCTAACAGCTGCTAACTCTTCAGTTCTCTCAAATTCTGACATAGCTTTTGTCCTTGAAATCTGAAGCTAAGAGATGTTTGTTTCAAAGTCATACATTCATGCACGAGGTCTGCTTCTTATATATATCTATATAGATATAGATATGGGCCCATTCTTTTATTCCTATTAAGCTAATTAAAATTTGAATCTAAGTATTTTACACTGTAAAATCATTTTTTTGGGGGGGTGGGGGGGGAAGAGAGGCCCAGAGACACGGGTCACAACCCTCTGTGTTTACGATCATGCTCTTGGTACTGCTTGCTACAAAACTGTGACATGCTGGT